GTCGCCTTCTCCTTGAAGAATGTAAAGGCGTGGTCACGCTGGCTCCATTTGCCGCTCATCCGTCCTTGCAGTACATATTGGCGATGCGATGCGACGGGTTCAGAGAGTTCCGTGCGCTCACAACTATTCCGACGCTTGAGTACGTCAAGCTGTCAATGTCCGTCGTGGGGCCTGACGACATGGCCCGCTGCATGGAGGGTTTCAAAGCTCCAACAGAACTCATACTCGACGGGATTCGCTTTTCTCCTGTGCGTGTTGTAGGCGTGGAGGAATATCGGCAGTTGCGAACACTCTCGCTCTGTGAGTCGGTCTTGGAGAATTATGAATGGATTGCAAGAGCAACATATTTGGCGAAACTCGACTTGAGTGCAACTCGTGTCAAAGAGGAGGAATTGGTTGGGCTGTGCAGATTACTTTTTTGTTTGGAAACGCTTTTACTGTGCTCTTGCAAGTATCTGAGCACGTCCTTGTCTTTTCTTTTGCCTCTGCATCAGATGCGAAGTGTATCTATTTCAAATTTCAGTTTGCTGCGAAATAATTGTATTGCCTTGCTGCGGGAGCGCGGTGTGTTGTGCGATGTCTCCTAAATGGAAGATGGAAATGAAGGATTTTAAGCATCTAACAAGTGGGGGACAGGAGAAAACGTAAACGAATGAATGAATGGGGCTTAGTGAGCGGCCATTGTGCAATTGGATGGCACTTTTTTACTGCTTTCTATTAGTATTATTATTATTGTTTTTTGATTTACGTTTTTTTTTTTTTTTTTGTGGGTTGTTTTATTTTAGTGTGGGATGTTTCTTTTCACGGCTTCTGACCTCTACGGGGAGTGCTGTGCACTGTATGGGGTGAAGCCGAACAGGGATGTGGCCGGGCAGCTGGCCGGGTCCAACTTTCTCACTATCCGGAGGATCGATGCCTCGAGAACTTTTCTGGGCGAGTTGGGCGTCCGGGCACTCCTGGAGTTTGTCGGAAGCCACTCTGGGATCCGGCAACTCGTCCTTAAAAAAAATGGTGTCGATGCGGCTTGTGTCGAGCACCTCTGCGGTGTACTGCGCGAGAGTCCGTCTCTTTCTTTCGTTGACCTTTCCGACAACCCCATGTCAACGCCCTCCGTGCGTCTTCTTTCGGAAACTGCAAGGGCCGTACCACATATTCGGGAGATAAACGTGGAGAACTGCGGCGTAAGCGACGATTGGATGAATCGACTGGAGCGCTGCTGCAACGCGAACAGTGAACTGCAGCGTCTTGGGTTTTACCCGTATGGCCCGGTGCGAGGCCTCCGGAGTTGGGAAACGGTGTTTGTTCTCGTGCTGGGTCCAGAATCTCTGGTACAAACATACTGTACAGAAATCTTGCCGTACGTTGGAAGCTTTGTCTCGAGACTCCGCTTAAGAATTGCGCCTCTCACCATTGACAAGGCCGATACAGATGATGTAGTCAAAAACAAGGTCTGGCGCTGCAGTTCGATGCACAACTATGCGTTGAGCTGGTGTGTTGTTCTCATTGGTGAGAAAGCGCAATGGCCGGATGCGGACATCAGTGCCTTGATGGCTGTGATGCGCCAGGAGGAGCCTGTGGTCCCACCATTGCGGAATAAATTTGGAGTTCTTCGCGATCCCATGTATCGCCATGCAAAACATCTCTTTGTATATACACTGACGTCTTTCCATGAGGAAGGGCCGTACAAGGGAAATGTGTCAACCGTTCCATCTAGTGTGTGGCTCCCCGCGTTGGGCATTACAGTGCCAAATGGCATGAATGCTCCCCCCGCAGTGGCAGTGAGGAGTGGGAACTGCTGGAAAGTGCGCTGCCTGACTGACTTGTCCGTCTCGTTGTGCTCCGTTTTCTCCGAGCGGCCTCGTTCCATGGCGTTATTGGAGGAAGACGAGGGATCTGACAAGAATTTATGGGAGACCATTGAACGGGAAAAACTTGTCGGCTCGCTGCACCCAAGGTGCAAGGACATTGTTCACTACGTGGAGTCGCCCGCTGGACAGTCATCTGTTCCATTGATTCTGTACGGTGCGGCTGATATAGGCAAGTCTAAGATCTTGTCTTGGGCTGCTGCAAATTATTCGGCGGTGGAGTCGCTCCGAGTTGTTCCCTATCATGTGAGCCACGAGAACCAGAGTCTTGTTGTGCTCTTGTTTCATCTCCTTCGTGTCTTTTTAAAGAAGCCCAAGCGGATGTATCGCAGTGTGGAGGAGCTGGCTGTGGATGCCCGCGAAGTAATCTCTAAATACGACGGGGAAATGGTTCTTCTCCTGATCTCGCGCATAGATCTCTTGGACAGCTGTGGGGGCCGAGAATCGCTCGTTCTCGAATGGCTTCCCTCGTGTCTACCTCCATCTGTGAGGGTTATTGCTTCTCTAAACACCGAGAGTCCGCTTCTGACTGCCTTTCGGAAACGCATGCCACAACCGTACGAGACACTCATCACGTCTTTTCCAAGGCAAGTGAGGGCTGACTTATTTCTGAAGGAAGTTTTGCGGCGTGACGTGAGGAAAACGTCAGAAGACGGTGGCGCCATGAACGATGGCGGCACCTTCCGTCCATTTGAGCCCAACAAGTCGCTAGAGGGTGCCTTCTTGCAGAAGGATGGATCACAAACCACATCCTTTGGTGTTTACACGGCTTCTTTTCTACAGCGAATGCCAAATAATTTGGCCGAGAGGGACATGGCGTTCATTCTCGCGGAGGATGTGCCCGACACTTTGGATGAAATCCTAACGGTGTTGTTGAGGCGGTATGAAACAATAAGCGACCCACTCACGGTTCAGTATCTTACGATGAGCCTTGTGGCGGCACCACTGCCCATTTCTGAGGTTATTTATATTTGTGAAGAGCTGGGACCTTGCAGACGCCACAAAACTTTACCAGTTCTTTTGATGATGTCAGATGACGGTCTCTTGACCGTGACTTCCGGATCCATTGTTCATTTATCGGGGCCGGATGTACGTCGGGTGGTAATAAAACTCTACGCGGATATTCAAGATCTTCTCAGCGTGCTGGTGGAGACGCACCTTGTTCGGCTGATCAAGACGCGAAGTCCCGATATGTGCTTTTACTTTGGACATCTGGCACCAATTATGATTGCAAATGGTAGCGTTGATGTTGCTTGCAGTTTTATATTAGATCCAACGCATATGGACGCTCTTTTGAGCCGTGATCCAGACAGCTGTACCCATGCAATTGATTTAATCTTTCGTCTTTTAAACACACGTCAGTTTATTCTTGAATTGGGTGAAGATATTTCTCCCTTAATGGATCAAACTACGCGGCGTCGTAACCGTGAGGCCTTACGGAGTGCTCTTGAATTCTTGCAGTTGGACAATGGTTTTTTCTTTCAATCTTCCTTGTTGGCTTCCGATGTATCGCCGTATTATTTACAGGCAATGGAGGCAGAGGAGGTACCATACACCGTGCTTGTTCCCTTGAACCGCGGTGATGAGGATGACGCAACGTATACGTTAGACTGCAAGCATCTGCCCGTTTATTGCCATTTGCGGGGGGAATATCTTGTGGTGACAACTACCCAGGAGGTTATAGTATACTCCGCGACGGATTTTCAAAATGAGCTTATGCGGTCCTTTGTGCCATTCGAACTCAATCAAAATCTTCGTGGGGCTCTGGTGGCTGCAGGGACACGTGTCGTCGTGATTGGCGATGAGCAATTGCTGTTATGGGACTTTGGCAGGCAGTCATTTACAATGTTTGAGGATACCACCGCATCATTGAGTGAAAATGCATTGGATCCATGTTTTCTCAACCTTGTCGTTTGCCATCACTCGAAGGAACAGCTTTCTGTCATTGATGTTTCGAAAAACAAAGTTGTTTTGGAGCTTCCAACGCTGGAGGCGGCGTCTGTGCGTGAAGCATTCTTTTGTGGTGGTGGGATTCTTGCCCACACGTTATACGATTTGTTCCTGATACGGGGGGAGGAGGTGGTAAAACTCGCCCATACGGGCCCCATTCGTCGTGTGAGTTTTTCCAATGACGGTTGCCTTATTGCTTCTTGCGTACGAGAGGATATATGGATCTGGTCCGGTACCGGGGAACTGCTGCATCTCATCGACGCCGGGGTGACACCAGTTGAGGACCTTTGTTTTAATGCGAGCGGGACGTTGCTGCTTACGTGGCAAACTGAGGGGGTTAAGTTGTGGCACTCGCTGAGTGGGAAGCATGTGGGGGCTGTGGAGCCCTGCTTTGATGAGAGGGCCTCGTTTGTTTCTTTTACCGAGGACGGCAATAATATTATTGGGCGGTGTGGCTCACATATTTATCTGTGGAATGTCCACACCCGTCAGCCCGTGGGGGTGCTTACAGCCGACACTGGCTGTTTTACGTTTGTGCAGGCGCGGAATCAAATGATGATTGGCACAACCTCCCGGAATGAGGTGAAGATATGGCGGTTGGGCGATGCCCCTCTTCCGTCCATCCAAAGTGTGAGGGAGAAAAAGCCCACAACCATGTGGCGGAAAAATGGTAGGCTCTCAAGCGCGCCAATTGTTCGAGTCGACGTAAATTTGAATGGGAGTCTTATCACCGTTGTTGATGGGAACGGTTCTGTGATTCTGCAGCCTATGTACGGCACTGCGAGATTGGACTGCGAAATCAGTCATGTCGAAAGTACCGCAATCCTCAACGACATGATATTCTTCACGATGAAAGGTGAGGGCCGTCAGTACTTCTGGAAACGACTGAGTGAAGATGACACCGTAACCAAGGTGTCATTACCGAGGAACGCCGTGATGCATGCGAGACTGGAGCTCGTAAAGTCAGAGGATGAGGGTTCAATGGCTGTGATTTCAAACTCTGAGGAAGGCAGCGTGATTTACGTTTACAACACCTCCGATTGGACCTTGACAAACCAGTTTTTGGGTCATTCCGGCCGCATTATCCAAGCCATTTTTGCTGGCGACTTTCTCATTAGTTGGGGGGATGATCGCACAGTGCGGCTTTGGAGCTTGTTGCGACATGCGGAGAGGGCGATATACAGCCATGACTGTTCTATAGTTGCGGCGACATCCGGCCCTTTAATGACTCTTTTTTTGGTGGACGACCGATCACGGCTGTATCATCTGCATGTGGAGAACATTGCATCCTCAGTGGACGCGCGTTTTGTTGCAGATCCGGTGGAATTGTCACTGACTATTCCACCCACTTCTAGGGTCCGAGCGATGATTCACACCTCAGATCTGCTTGTCATGTCCACTGAGGACGGCTCAGTGTACTTGGTGGATCTTCGCCAGGGCGGGACTGTCAGCAGGCTGTCCGGCTACAAGTGTCTCTCCCTTGCTTCAGCCTCCAGTGGGGGCGATGTGTATGTCGTAACGGGTCATTGGACCGGCGAGGTTCTTTTGCACCTGGTTCGTTTTACTGAGCAGATGTAAAGAAGAGATGAAAAAACAAACAAACAAACAACAACAACAAAAACTATTCAGCATGACGAAACGCGACAAACAGATAAAGAAAAAAGAGAACTTCTTAAATTGTTTTTGTTGTGGAGTAGTAAGCGAAAAGAAGGAAAAAGGAAAGAGAAAAAGGGAGGTGGGGAGCGGCTCGACTCTCTCGGGGAGAGCAGAGATGTGCGCATTTTTTTTTCCCTCCCTTTGTATGTGTGCGCGTGCGCGCGTATTTTTTGGATGACTTTTTGATTGCCTCACGGCCATTTTTTTCTTTTCTTTGTCACGTGAATTGGCGGCTACTGCCCATACAGAAAGCCAAGAGGGTAAAGCAGAAAAGCCGTAAAGACAAAGAAGCGAGTCATAAGCAGCAGCAGACTAAAGGGGAGGAAAAAAAAAAAAAAAGAAAAAATACTCATAAAGAGGGGATCTAACACAATGCGACGTGGCGATTTTGAGCGTCGGCGCCTTCGTGATTTGTACGAGCGGAATGTGCGCCGGGTGCGGGCTTTGGCGGATGCGCGAGATGGGCGAAGGTCTGGCAGGGACGATGATATTGCGGCTCCCCGCCGTTATGTCGTCAGCGAGCGTCGAACTCGCCTCGAAGGGTTTGGCCGTGGTGGCTACCAAGTGCAGCGGTCACGCCGGTTTGGCCGCGATCCAAGGATCCGTCGGTTCAGCGACAGGGGCGTTTACCGTCGCGGTGCCCTGGACCGCTTTGAACGCGAGGAGGACTTTGAGCGGAAGCTGCGTCGTGAACGTTTCCGTGAACGCCGTCTTAATGAGGGCGGACTGCGGTTCGGTCGTCTGCGCCTTCGCCGCAGCGAACGACGGGAGCTGCGCCAACTGCGAGAGCTCCGAGAACTCCGTGAACTTCGCGCCCTACGAAGCGCACAACGAAACCAGGGCAATGGCGATCGGCGCGGCAAGCTAGACAAGGAATTGGATCGCTACAGAAAGGACCAGCGCGGCGGACGCAGGGGTGGAGGTGGCCGTGGCCGTGGCGCACCAAATTCGGTGACGAAGGAAGGACTCGACGCGGAACTTGACCGCTTCCGCGGCGGCAATTAGTGGACGAGCACAATGTGGGGGAATTGTCATTACAAGAGGTTGGTGAAGCCGGATTAATAGAAATATGAATTCAGACGGCTGAGGGATCCTCTGCATGTGCTGTTTAAGTGTTTAACGGGGGAAAAATGGAGGGTGAATGAAAAAGGAGAACAACTTTTGTTGCGTTCATGCCCGTGCATAAATATAAGTGTCTACATAAATGCCTGTTTTACGCAATTCCGCATTGGGCGTCAAACGTTGACAATTTTTTTTTTTTCTACCTTTTGATTAGAATGGCGTGAGTCGTGACTGTTTCTGCTCGTGCGTGAGGGGATCAAAAGTACACGCGTTCGGGGGTCAATACAGCAGCAGAGGTGGTGCGGGCCTTGCGGCGGGGGAATAGCATGAGGGGCTCGAGGTCCAAAGAGCATGGAAAAGGAGAAGGAAAAAGGCCGGTCAAATTAGAATGAGGAGAGAAAATAAAAAAATAGAGGAGAGGACGAGGGGCTTCGCCGGACACGCGTCGTTGCGATGGAGATAAATTTTTTTTTTATTCAGGTGACAATTACCGTTGGCCGTTGCAATTCCGCTGTACTTCACATTGCTTTATCAGGGCTTTAACATTCTCTCGAGGGACGCGAGCTCCCACAGGCTTCCCGGATATACACACACACACACGTTTGATTTTTATTTTTTAAGTAAAGGCATTTTTTTTTTAAAGGCTTAAAACAACAACAACAAAACAAAACAAAAAAAAGAATGCTGCTTTCAAAAGCAGACATCATTGTTTGTGCGACCACAACGAGTTGTTTCCTTCAGAGGAGAGGCACCGTTATTTGATTTCTGTCGTGTTCATTTTCTTTTTCTTTTGTGCGCTTTTTTTTTTTTTTTTCGTTGCTTGTGTTTTTGACTATTGTCGGGGACACATTTCGAGTTATTATTGAATGCGCCCGCGGCGGCCAGGGGTGCTAGGTGCTTTTAGTTGTGGGATTTCTACGTTTCATGCGGGAAGGCCGCCTCGTGCTTTCCGTCCGGACTACACTCCTCTGTCGACCACCCACACCGTCTTTGGACAGAAGCAGGCCACTGTGCCTGCACTGCCGCGTCACAGACGCCTGCTTTCGACGGATCACCCAGCGTTTGGCACGAATAGGGCGTTTCCTCCTGGTAGGCCATTTAAAGGCCCTATTAGCGTATCGGGCTTTTTTTTAGCTGTCGACCCCAATTTTGCGGCAGGAACACAAAATCGAATGAACCCAAATGCGCAAATAACTGTGCGTGATAGTGAGGGGAACATGTCGCGGGTCCGTTACCGCTGTCACTTAGAGTCCTATACAGGACTGAAATTAGAGGCACTCATAAGACTCCAGGTTGGATGGATCTCGCCAAAGGTGACATTCTCATGTATTCCATATGTCATTTACCTCGGAAAAGGATTTGATCTGAGCATTCCATTCCTTATTCACTTCACTATGGTGTCGGTATTGGATGAGCATGGCGACCGTACTGGAAGTTTTCTCTACTTCAGTGGAACCCCTATGCTTGGGTTTTCCGCAGGCCTGACACAAATTCGACGAGGAAAGTTGGTGCTAAATCCAGCAAAGGAAGTGGATCCCGTGGAGGAGTCTAAGCAGTTTGTTGGAAAGATTCATGTTAGACAATTAGGCTTTGTGTTACTCAAATGTCTCGGGTACGCCTTGTGTTTTCTCGCGTGTGTCCCTGCTTCGCAGCGCTTTCTTCAGTACATGCTTCCCGATCCATTTCACCGGCACAGCGAAAGTGCTGTTTGATGGCCTTTTTTTCTTTTTGCTTGCTTTCGCTTGCGACGGTGCTTCGACCCGATTTTGGATCATTGCTGTGATTTATGTGTTCGCTAACTTTTTTTTTTCGTCCTGTTGATTCCTCCTGTTGTCTTTCCTTTCTGTTGTGGCGGAGGAGGAGTGTGTGTGCGTGTGTGTGTGTCAGTCGGCGCCGCACTTGTCATTTTCCTCTGTCTTTTTGTTATGTTGTTTTCTCTTTACCGCCTCACGTGGTTGTGTCTTTTTTTTTTCTTCTTTTTTTTTTTTGTTCTCTGGCGGTGTGGGTCTCTTAGAATGAGGAGAACAACTGCCGTTTTGTGGCAGCATGGGGTCCACGTCCCTCGCGGGGTTGTTTACCACGGCGCCAAGATGAAGCATTGGCCGGAGCAGAAAGTACCTGACAACTTCAAGTTCACGGAGGAACAGCGCTTCAGGACGAAGGCCATCCCTCGAGACTTTGGGAAGATACCCCGCGACTTTGTCCTCAGCGTGCTTTATCGCCACCAGCCGTGTGAGGTAAGTGGACTTTGGGAGCACTGCACCAGCGACCCTGGAGTTGTCCTTGACAGCAAACGACACCTGCGTGAGGTACTAAAACAGGCAAGGGAGGAGGGTTTTGTGAGTTTCGAGCGGGACCCCGTTTCCAACGAATGGCTCTGCTTCATCACACGGGAACGTTTTGAGGAGGTGCGACAGATTGCTGGAGCAAAGGCTGAGGCGTCTGAGGTCTATTCGGGGTTGCGTGGCTCTAGTGCAACAGAGACGTCGTCATACACGGAGCGTTTTAAGGAGATGAACGAAATGGCAAGGGAGGAGCATGCACGTCGTCTTGAGGAGGAGGTGAAGACGACGACGAAACATCTGCGCTCCTTTCAGCGGAAGGAGGTGGACTACCTGCCGTACACGGACCTGAACGGAAAGGTAAACTTTATGTGGTGGTATGAGACAAGGGATGTGCAGCAGAGGGGAGGAGATGCGATCCCCGCGTCTAGCAGAGACACGTTGCCGAGTGACTCCGGTGATGGCCCCGCACGTCTTGAAGGATGATGTTCTCTTTGTACCTTTTTTTTTTTTTCTGAAACTGAGGCAATCTCTCCTTTTTTTCACTTTCTTTCTTCACCTCCGAGGGCGCGTTTTTGTGTTTTTGCGTTTGGGTGATTTTTCCGTATCATCTTCTTTTTGATTTTTTCTTTTTTTTTGTTTTTGGATTCGTGTACGCATTTGGGTCTTTGTTTGTTTCATCCCGCTTTCTTTTCTCTTATCCCACGATTATTTTTATCTTTTTTTTTTTTACTTTTATTTTGTAGTCAATGAGTGTACAACGCGTGTCGGAATGCTCCTGGATGGAGGACATGGAGTTCTACAAGAACACTCTGTATCAGCGGGTCCAGGAGTGCCCAATATCCATCACACCAGGCACCGAGATGATACGTTTTTTGCGGAATGAACTTATTCGAGCCGAAAAGAACGATGAGTCTGCGGAGTACCGGCTGGTTGTTGGGGATATGTTCAAAGTGGTGACAGATTCCTTAGTGTCTGCGGTTCATCGGAGTGCTCCGTATACCCACATTGATAGCAGTGCCCCAAGGGATTATCACGTCACGAAGGACGAGGACGAACTCCTGATGGTGGATGGCATCTTTGACTCCGACGAGGAGGGCGACGCCGACAGTGAGACCGTGACCAAGCCGTCGATAAAGGAGAAGGAACAAAAACAACGAAAAAGGGAGGAACTAAGAAAGAGGCGGGAGGAGGAAGAGGAAATGCTTGTCAAGCAAAATAAAGTACCTGATGATAAAGGGGGGCTCTTAAATACGTTGGGTCCGTATGCCGCACCGCGTCTCACAGTTAGAGCCTCCACTTTCACTTTCCCAAGTCGAAAGTCTTTGGAGCAGCGTACCGCCCTCCCCTCCCCCGGGTCTTCATCCGAGGAGGATGACAATGATGACGAGGAGGAAAATGTGGGAGGCGGCGTTTCATCGTCCTTCTCATCCGGTGGTGGCGAGGCTGTGGCCCACCTGACGGCTTTTATGAAGCCCCTGTCGATGGATTCTCTGAAAAAAGTCAGTGAAAGTGCAAAGGTAAAGATAAAACCCTCATCTTCAAACAGGGAGTACATCACTCAGATCGTCAAGACAGCTGTAAGACTTGGGTGCGAAAAGGCATGTGTCCTGATGGATAAACATAAAATAATTGAAGAGATGACAAATCACGTTCAGGCCGGCCCTCTGCACACCGCAGCCAGCATCGACTTTCTGCAATCCCTTCCAGATCAACTAAAACATGCTTTAGGTCACATTTTGGGTGTCTGGGAAGAGAGTCCCCAGGTGGAAGCCATGTGGGAGCGCATGGTGGCCATGGGTTTCCTGGCAGTTTTAACGAACCTTCGCCTAAAGCCGCTCAAGAAGATTGCGACGGAGTTAGGTGTGTCCATGCCAGACACACATTCCACCGAGAAGTGCTGTGAAACCATCATGTTTGCTGCCTTTCCTCGGGAACGTTTACGGGCAAAAAATTCGCGTTCCAAAAGGCAAAAGACGCTCAATTTTACGGTTCCGCCATCTGGCATGCGATGTAAAGGGCATATGGGCTTTATCACGTTTCAGGTGGAGAATGTTTCCATTCTACCAAAAGACAATGAACGTCGCTACTCACCGGAGTTTGAGTTTGGTAAACTGAAATGGAGTCTTCTTTGTATGGCGAACAAGGAGTTTTTGGCTCTTTACTTGTGCCAGACCGGTAGTGTCTTCTGCAAGTTTTTGATAACAGTGTTGAATCACGTGAATGTGGACGACTCCATCTGCAATGAAGGAACACAACGTTTTTCGACACGATCACAAGAAAATGACTGGGGGTTTAATACGGTGATCAAGTTTGAAGAGCTTCTGAACCCAAAAAGGGGGTTTTGGCAGGAAGAGGGCGATAGCGTCACAATCGAGGTTGGCATTGTACTTGTGGAGACGCCGAAGCCACTGAGTCTTGCGAAAAACGCGTCGAATAAGGACAAGCAGACGGGGCCCAAGGTGGATGAAAAGGCGATGCGGCAGCTCATTGAGGACGAGAAGATGGCACAGATGAAGAAGCGCATCAAACAAGAGATGGCCAAATTGACAAGGGATGGGGAGAAGGCGCGGAAAGACATTGCGCAGCGGGCTGCAAAAGGGTTTCACGACTTGATGGAGCGTTTCAAGGCAGAAAAGCAACGCATCGCCAAGGAGCTCGCGGAGCGCGAACGGCGGGAGCAGCAGGAACGTCAGCGCGAGCTTGAGATTATCAGGCAGGCGCAGGAGCAGAACGCCGAAATGAGGCGTCGCATCGAAGAACTAAAGAAGGAAAGCGTCAATTTGTCAAGGGAAAAGAAGGAACTAACGCAGGCGACAAAAGAACTAAAAAAGGCAGGCGAGAAGTATGCTCAGGAGCTCAATGCAATCAACGAGATGAAGGCGTCGCTTCAACAGAAGGTGAAGCATCAAGAAAAGAGAATTGCTGCAGTGCAAAAACAAATCGGCGATCTGCGTCAGGAGGAGCCGCTTAATCCATTGTCTTCCGATGATGAGGCGAACGTGAGCGATGACAGTGAAATCATGTCTCGACTAAAAGAGTCCTTTGAGCAGTACATCGGTTTGGACGGCAAAGGCGTGTGATGCGCACGTCGGCCCCCTTTTGGCAGGAAACGAAGCCGCTTCACCCTCATAGCAGAGGTGTTGCACACACTCCAAAAAAAAAAAAAAAAAAATTAAAACAAAAGAAGAACAAAAAACAAAACGAAAATCAGACTTTTTTCTTTTTCTTCTCCCTCGTAACCCCCCCCCTTTTTTCCCTTAAATTTTTCGTGCAGCCTTTTTGTTTGTTTTGGGTTTCTTGTCGCTGTCGCTTTTATTGTTGTTGGTTCCAAAGCCGTTTGTGCTCCTTTGTCCAGGTGGGAAGGGGAAAGAGAGAGAGGGAGGGAGAAATGTTATGAGAGTATTGAATGAAAATGCCGTGACGAGGCAAATATTCCTTTAAAAAAATTTTTTTTTTTAAATCTTTTGGGATGGGGCGAGGATTTGTTGTGTGTGTGTGGAAACATTTTTTTTTTTTTTTTAATTATACATTTATGTATACATGCATATTTCTCTTTTTTACTTTGCTCAAGTGACGTTACGCATTTAGGCAGAACTCATTTATGTTCTTGGGCCGTCCAAAGATTGCACCCTCTGCGGTAGCGGGTGCCATTTTTGGTTTGGCAGTTATGCTGCTAGTTGATGGCATCATTACGGCACAACATGAGGCGAACGTGGCGCACCACGTCACTTTCACGATGTTTATGCCTGCACTTTTATCCGTAGTTGGTTTCTTTGTGATGATTCTTATCTCTCCTGTGGAGGTGAAAAACGATGTGCCAAGGGCCAAAGCAGGGCTCTTTATTAGTTGGATTCTTTGTTTTGGCTCCTCTGTTGCTGCGCTTGTGTTGTGCAAGTTGAAGTTTGCGGGGCTGCAGGAGCGTGAGCGTTCCGTTCCGGGGGTGGCGGTGGTGGGTTTTACTAGTCTTATGCCACTTGCCGGTGCCATCCTTTGGTGGGGCAAGCAGTCATTGCTAGACGACTATTAGGGTGTGAGTTTTCGACAAGGCGACGTGCGTGTTTTGGGGTCTATACGGCTTGGCATTGGCGGGGTCTTTGGGTTGCCATGTATTTTTTGTCGGACGTAACTTTTACGTTAATTTTTTTTTTTTTTTTTGCATTCTCTTTTTCTCCATCTCTCTTTTTTTCTTTCTTTATAATATATATATTTGCACATTTATGGGAGCGCTGCGGGGAAATATTGTGGCCGGAGAGGGAAGTTTTGGCACGAAAAAAAAAACGAACCGCAGGCAAATAAATCCCTAAATACTTGGGTGGGGGGCGAGAGGGGATACTTCCAACGTGCCGAGATGCGAGCAATGCGGTCTGCAGGTGCTCTTTTGAGCTTTTGCCGCGGCTTTGACAGCTCCGCGAGGTTTGGTAAGGAGCTTGGATTTGGCCACAAGATGCGTGACATTCCCGTTCTCACGGGGAATCCACGACCCGTTGCGAGGGAGGAGGAGTGGCGCTGCGCGTACAAGCTTACCGAGCGCATGGAAGACGTCGTCAGAGATGTCCTACGGAAGGACGGTTGGAGTGAAGTTGAGGTGCAGCGGGAAATGGAACAAATGTTTGAGAGAAAAGTCCACAACACCCGCTCTTCTTTAAACACGTGGACGACTGTTGAAGAGTTTCAGCGGACGCCTTGGTACCGTCGATATAAGCCGACAGACACATGTGCTGCCAAATTCATCTCTTACGAGGTGATTAAACTGCTGGAACAGGCGTTAATCCCCCCATCGCTAAGGACAGATCCTTATGCGCATCTTCGGAAGCGTCACATGGAGGACAACTGGATGAATGACAGATTTTCGGAAGAGTCCGCAAAGTACATAACACGAGAGCAGCTGGCCAAACAGACCAAGGGCCTATCCGGGTATGGCCAAGTAACCCGAAGAAAGTTCTTGGAGTTTGATCAAAAGTTTAAGGCATCATACAACGGAAAACAACGTGTGAATGAGTCCTACTCCGCGTGGCTGCAGTCCCTCAATGATAAGTGAAAACTGGGAAAGTTTATTCATTCTGACAATCGGGGCCATTGAGTCTGTTTTTTTTTTTGTATTATTGATTTTACGAGTGAACTTTAGCCATTATACATATTGATGGTATTTTTTTTTCTCTGAATTTATTGGAGTGCTGTGCGTCGCTGCAGACAATTTTTTTTTTTTTTTTTAATTGAGGGCTCTAGTGGAAATGACATCGAGGAGGCCGGATTCTGGCAAACAGCTGCGGAAGGAAAAGGTGGAGCATTCCAATGTGCGTGCCGACACCGAAGACGACGTGTCTCCACTGAATAAGCGTTATCAAGATGTGGAGGAGCGTCGTCTGAAGGAGTGGGAAAATTATCAGAGAAGCCATCGCTCGACGGAGGAGCAGCAATCGTCGCGCGCATTTTTGGACATATCTATTGGCGATGTTCTTGCTGGGCGACTAGTTTTGGAGCTC